CAATCAGACTCCCCCGTCCCCCATTTACGCCCTGTGAGAAATGGAAGCACTCCACAAAGTAGCCCGAGCTGTAGCACTTGCTACCTTCCGCCGCAAAACCCTATTCGAAGGTTGCACAGAAGCAAGCTGATGGTGGCTTCCACTCTTGAGCATGCGCCAGTACCGAACTCATAGGCGGATCCAGGGGCCAGCCCATCGCCCCCAGCGACACAGACATCACTGCTACAAAAACTCAGGTCTAAAGCTAAAACTAAAGCCTAAAGTAACTCTAAATATACTAAACTAAGTAGCAGCGTTATTCTTGGTTTTTGCATAGTTCCACGGTCAGTTGTGCCACTGGCGAAGTCAAACAAACCCTTGGTATGAGAGCAACGGGGAATGATTTCCTCGGAAGAGAAATGGTAAACCGATATTGACGAAGCTGTTAGTCTCGGCATTCATTCTTCGTTTTGTTCGTATCTGCACAAGAGTCCTCAGTTCTGCCGGATACTTCAAATGAATTTTCTGCGCTTCATTGTAGTCCTCTAACTGTGGCAACAGATGACTCCTTCCAAGAAGAAGCTGACGCAGCTCTGCTGGTACTGCTCGCATGCTACATCCTGTTAGCCCCGGTGCCACCTGATCGTCTTCATCGCTCTCTGAAACCAATTTTGATTCCTGGAACCATTACTGCAGCACAGCACAGCTTGCTAGACTTGTTTCGCAGGAAAGTTAAAATTCATGAATGTTCGAAAAATACATGGAATGTTACCGGTTAAACTTTGGCTACCACCGCTCGTATGTTTCGGAGCTTTGCAAGCGCGTTTCTTTGCCTCTTCCAGAAAACGTTTCTTCTCCTCCGGAGGCAAACTGGACAGATAACTTTCTACTGTTTTCCTAACTGCCTGATCCGATGCTTCACTGCTCTGAGCTCTTTCTGGACAAAACCTGAAATTTGTTCCCCAATAAATTAATAGGGAAATAATTTACGCAGTATTATATGATGTAACAAAACGAATTTAAATCCTAGCAAAAATGTGCGGTAAACTGACACGCCGAAAAGCTCCCAAGCAGCGTCCTGGAAACTCTTCTGATGCTTCGCCATCAGTCGCTTTCAGCAGAAGCAGCAAACGAACCGGTCTTTCTGGGCCTCTAAAATTTCTTAATATTATTATACAGACAATGCATAAAAATTCAAATATTTATGTTGAAGCAAGCCCCCCCCCCCCGCCCCCTGATACCATTTTGCTTGGGAATTTGGGAGTTCTGGAACTCCAGAATTGGCTAAGAGCTCAGGCATTCAGCGCAGTGGTGAGCTTTTTTTATATTGGGATTTTTCATTGCTGGGAACAAGAGCATGTGTCAGGACAACAATCTCATGAATAGTTATTAAAGTACGGCGACATCTAAAACGAATTAACTATATGTGTAATTTAAAAGGGTAAGCGTTACGATCGTGCTAATTTATTTATTTTTTTGATATTCTGCTAGGAAGATTGAAAACTGCCAAACTCAGGAGTTAAAAGAAACAATTTGTGTCTAAATCTGAGTTACAGATTC